CTCTGGCGGTCCAGGACTGCTCGTATCGATCAGCATAAGAAGCAAGACTTTCTGCTGAGTCCATTTCCTTATCCCATAAACACTGTTTTATTTCCTCCTTTGGGCATATTCAGGAATTGCTCCTGAGCTATCAAATCACACATTCCGTCAAAGCTAGTGACACCCCTTCCTTGGACCCATTTATCTAACAGATCCTTCATCTGGTTTAGATAAGCCACATTACTTAGTCCAGGCCCTCTCTTAAGGGTTCAAAATTTTACTCTGTACGTTTCAGGTGTAATTTGAAATTGCTTTAAAACCAAATCCTTGAACTTCTTATAGTAAGAAGCCTCATCAATAGACTTCTTATTGAATATGTCCAGAGCTCTTCCAGTCAATTTTGTGACCAATGTGGTCATCTTGTGAGCTTCAGGAATTTTATGGAGAGTGCACAGTCTCTCAAAGGTTAGAAAATATTCAGCAATATCACTGGATTCATCACACTGTGGACATAGTCGCTCCCATTTGTTGATTGTTGGGGATTGTTAGGGTTAACCAGTAGATTCCGCTCAGCTCTTACCTTCTCCATCTCCAGTGCATGCTTCCTCTCTTTTTCCTTGTCCTCCAGTTCTTTTTCCCTTGCCTCCGTAGCTTTCCTGTGGGCAGCCTCTAGGGCTTTTTCTGCCTCTTTCGCTGCCTCCATTTCTTTGTCCTTTGCTTCCATAGCTCTCCTGTGGGCAGCCTCTAGGGCTTTTTCTGCCTCTTTCGCTGCCTCCAGTCTGGTTAACTCCAATTTGTGTTGTGCCTTGGTTTCTGTCATGGTAGCCTCTCTGTTTTTAACTAACTTTACACCCGAGAGTTAGAAATCAAACAAACAAACAAACAAACAAAAAACTTGGCTTGTAAAAAAAAAATAGGTTGTGCTGTAACCAGATACCGATGTTCTTTGATAATGATTGTCAGCCTACAGAAAAATCCTTAAAAAAAAAAACCAACTAACACCTTTGTCTCCAGGCAAATAGACAGAAAACCCCTCTAGTTGCTCTTAGGGGAAAAAAAAACAACCCACCTCTTCAGGTCTGTGAAGACTTGTGAATTTCCCTGCAGGAGGTTAACTACCCTGCCTTTAGGTAGAGAAAACTCCAGCTCAGAAAAGACAATTCCCTTTTGTCTCTGCTCTGGCCCCCAAGCAGAGACAAAAAAAACCCCTCTAACTGCTTTCCAGCTGCCCAAAGGAAAAAAATTTCCTTTTTAAAATCTGTGCTTCTGGTTCAAAAAATCTCAAATTGATCTCAAAATGATTTCAAGTTAATCCCACCGCTCTGCCACCATGTCAAGGTTTCTTCCCCACTCTGAACTCTAGGGTACAGATGTGGGGACCTGCATGAAAAAACCCCTAAGCTTATTTTTACCAGCTTAGGTTAAAACTTCCCCACAGTACAAACTATTTTACCTTTTGCCCGTGGACTTTATTGCTGCCACCACCAAGCGTCTAACAAATATGTAACAGGGAAAGAGCCCGCTTGGAAACATCTTTCCCCCCCAAATCCTCCCAAACCCTACACCCCCTTTCCTGGGGAAGGTTTGATAAAAATCATCACCAATTTGCATAGGTGAACACAGACCCGAAACCTTGGATCTTAAGAACAAGGAAAAAGCAATCAGGTTCTTAAAAGAAGAATTTTAATTGAAGAAAAAGTAAAAGAATCAGCTCTGTAAAATCAGGATGGTAAATACCTTACAGGGTAATCAGGTTCAAAACATAGAGAATCCCTCTAGGCAAAACCTTAAGTTACAAAAAGACACAAAAACAGGAATATATATTCCATTCAGCACAACTTATTTTATCAGCCATTTAAACAAAACAGAATCTAACGCATATCTAACTAGATTGCTTATTAACCCTTTACAGGACTTCTGACCTGCATTCCTGCTCTGGCCCCAGCAAAAGACACACACAGACAGAGAGAACCCCTTGTTTCCCCCCCCCCCCCCAGCTTTGAAAGTCTCTTGTCTCCTCATTGGTCATTTTGGTCAGGTGCCAGTGAGCTTATCTTTTTTCTTCTTAAGCCTTTACAGGTGAAAGGGTTTTTCCTCTGGCCAGGAGGGATTTAAAGGTGGTTAGCCTTCCCTTTATATTTATGACAGGCACCATAGAAGAACTTAGGCTGGAGAAGGAGAGAGCACATGCAGTCACCATGGTATCCTGGAGCCAGTCTACCAGTACCCTGATATGTGAATGAATTGCACTTGATATTAATTGCACAAAAGTATATTTGCATCTTCCGAGAAAAGCAGAATTTACAGGACTGTGCTAAGTACTGTTGTCTTTGCAGGTTATGTCAGTACCCCTCCTCCCTGAACTTTCCTCCCTGAATTTAGGAAGATATAGAGCGTATTGCTTTGTTAGTCTCAGTATTTTGTATGCCTGTATCCTCCCACTGCAAAAGTGTAGCACTGCACGTGTTCTTGGGATAAATCAGACCCACAGAACTCCGTGGTCCAAGAAATGTTTACAGCAGCACTTTCACTCTTCTAGCTCTGTTTAAATACCAAGGCTTGCCCAGATCTGCCTCTGACAACTTCTGAACTGGATTCTAATCCTGCTGTACTCAGCTGTCAACAATAAAGATTTTCACGTCTCAGAACATCTGTGTAATTAGTTGTTTTGTTCATTTGATCTTTTAACGTGTTGCAGGGTGATTAGCTCACCCGCATTTGGAGAGAGAGGTTTGCAAATTCTCCCACTCGCCCTCTGCAGCCCCCTCCCCACCGCTTTTGGAGGGTGCGGACAAGACAATCCGTGCTGTGGCTTCCATTCTGACACCACTGGGAGGGAATTGGGGGGCTCGCAGGGCACCTAAATGCTGCCTAAGCCTCTTACTGGCTCTCTGCGCAGGGCTGACCAGTACTGTTGTTTTAGCATTTACAACAAGCTGCATTTACACTAGGAAGTTTGACTGTGTCAGTGGGCTTTGGGTCAGACCTATGAACAGTTCCATGAGGATGGGCGGCACGTATCATGGGCTGGGGGAGGCTGTGCCCCCAAAACAGCCCTGCAGGGCCCCACCCTCGCTCCTTCCGGATACCCCCCCTCCTGCTTGCCCTTCCCCCTTGCTCCAGCCTAGGCAGGCTGGCTGCTCCTCTTTAGGGAAGCATGCTGGGGCTAGTGCTTGCAGCTAGGTTTAAGGCTAGGGCTCTCGCAGTTGGTCTGCAGCTGGGACTTGGTTGTGGCTGGGGCTGCCCAGTGCTGGGGAGAGGCTGTTGGCACTGGGGCTGCCCCCTCTGTGTTTGGGGGGGCTGGAGGCTCTGGGCTTAGAAGCCGCACATTGCCTTCCTGCCTGCCTGGTGCTTGGGTTGGGAGGGCTGCATGCTGCCTGCCTGGTGCACTGCGGGGGGGCTCTGGGCTCCAGCGCGGGAAGGAGGGCAGAAAGGGTGGGGCTGGCCAGGGGCTAGCCTCCTCAAGCCAGAAGGTCACCCGCCACGCATGTCCATGGGGGTTTCAGTCACCTAACTTCAGAAGCCCAAGATATAAAACTGGTCTGTGTTGCTTTAATAGAGTCTGGACAATGATAGATGGGTCCAGACTGGACTACTGCAGCATGCTTCATGGTCCATTGAGCTACTTCTGAAGACCGCTCTGAGGCTACAACCAGTGTAGAAGGGCTCAGCCCACTTGTTCGCTGGGGATGGTCGTAGGGAGCATATTACACCCATGGGCTAAAGACTGCATTGCTTTCCTACTTGCTTTCAGCATCACTCAGTGTGTTGGTATCAACATTCAAAGCCCCACATTGTTTGGGTTCTGCATACCTTGTAGACCGACTCTCCTCCCAAGGCACCATTGCAGAAATTGAGATCAACTGGGTCTGAACATGATGTGTTGCCGTTCTCAGTGGAAGGCCCTCAGTTCTGGAACTACTCCCCATGTTGGTCCTGCAGATCCTGAAGCATGGGCGCATGGCAAATCTGTTAATCAAGTAGGGCTAGACTGTGGTTAGATTTGCCCTCAAGGGTGCATTGCTATCTTACCGTGCTGGTTTTCTGAGATTCTCCAGAGTATTTCTGATGTCACTCTTCTGCACCGTGTTGTTTGCAGTGGAGCAGGGATAAGAGCAGGTGCAACTTCTGTGTTGCGCTGCATGGGGGCCACGATGCATGGCTGGCACATTAACTTGGGGTCCTCATTCTAGTGCTGTCTTGAGCTACTGACTCTAGCATCCTTCATAACCAGGTGGAAGGATTGACTCCTCCTAGCTGAATTGACCACATCCTGTGGAGGATATGGTACATGGATAGCATGTTAGCCTGGTCCCTCTTACAGCCTTTTTGAACTCATGCCTCTTGCGCAGTGAGAGAGGATCCCTACAGACTCTTTCCCCCTCTTGTGTTTGAGTTCAGCGCAGGGTAAGACCTAGCGAGGCATATCCATAGGTTTTATTTCCCCTTGATGATTGCTCCTCTGTTTGATTTTTGTTTCCCACTCACACATTAATACATCAAACTGATTCAGGATATTTGTACATAACTGATACATTCATACCATGATACTGCAGATATTTTGTGCAGTTCAAATTCTGCTCTCAGCCCTGCTGGCAGATGGACCTGAGCCAAATCTCAGTGAAGCCAAGGGGAAAGACTCCCATTCACTTCCGATGAGGTTGGAGCAGGCCTTCAGTCTGCAGTTTCTCCATGAACTTGAACAGAGCTACTGAGCTTTTTACATAGGTGTAACTGTAAGCAGGGGTTGCACCAGTGACTGTGGCAAAGTTGATAACAGTGTCCCTTTCCCTTGACGGATCAGCTGTTACTGGGTATTTCAGCTTCCCTCTCACGCTCATATGGGATCTTCCCAGTCACTGGGAATCCTGAAAGTTGCCAAGCTCCTGCAATTCCTTTGGTGCAAGAGTTTCAGGAGCTCAGCACCTCCTCTTGGGGTTTAATCCATTGTTATGCTTGGAGGGCTAGGTGTGTTGAACAGTAGGCCCCAATATCTTTATGCCATTGGTCCTTAAGGCCATTGATACAAGTGGATAGATAGTTGGAACTCCATAGTTCATTTGCAACTAGGCCTTTCTGCTGAGCTGGCCAACATTGGTGTCAATTAGTACTGGCTCTTCTGGTGGTTTTGTGGTCTGGGCTCTTGTCCATTAGGAGCTGGATTGAGACAAAGCACTTTAGAAAATGCCCAGTAGGGATCAGTTCTCCCTGGGGCAGGGATATGAACTGGCCTAGCTAATGATCCCATACTATCTAACTTCTGTCTAGGCCACCAGCCCCATTTCACACAGATGACCAAGAATTTAATAATTTTATTAAGATAATGTTGAAATAAAAAGAAAACGGTACAGAGTTCAAGCATAGAAGTTTCTGGTTATCAGGGAATCAGGTACAGATTATCAAGGGGTGTGAAATTCGGTTTAGGAACGGGTGGCGTAAGGAATACATAATCTGCAATGCCATTTTGAAATGAAAAATCAAAACATTTTGTTTCTAAGTGGCTGAAAGGAACAGTGTCAACTTTTCTGAAATTTTTTTCCAATTTTTGGGGAGCCAAAACTTGTTCCAAATTCACAAATAGTGGTTTTTGGTGAATACACTATTCACTGAAAAAAATTGCCCAACTCTAGTCAGTACTGACCTGGACTGCACTCCCATCAATGACTGAAGGGCGAAAGGCTCCATAATTCATTACGAACTCCCTGAGCCAACTGCTTCTCCAAGTAATACGAATAACAATAGTACAATTAAAAAAATTATCTGTGACGTTTGTATGGCTGCATGTAGAAATTTGATCTTGTAATAACCCACAGTTCAGGGGGTCTTTATTTTTAACATAAACAGATCACGTACTGGCTTGCAGGCATGTGCGGGGGCCTGTTTTTTTGCCATTAATGTCCATGGGATGTTTGCCACTAGAGTTGAGCTTAACCACATTTTGGTCCTAAAGCTCTTATCTGACCCACCTGAGCAGTCCTACTGGATTTGTGTGAGTAGGATCACCCGATTGGATCAGACCTGTGGTCCATCCTATCCAGTCTTTGACAGTGGCGGCCACCAGATGACCAGAGGAAGGTGCAAGAACCCGACAGTGGGGAGTTGTGGGGTAATCTGCCTCCTACACATAGCTCTCATCCTGGTCTCTAGTTAGAGATTAGCTAAGACTCAAAGCACACAATGCAGCATGAAGTTTATTATCCCTTCCAAAATTATTGTTGTCATTAATTATAACAACTCTGGACATTCTTGATGTCCATATAAATGTTCAGTCCCTTTCTGTTAAGTCCTTGGCCTCGGTAACTTCTTGTGGCAGAAAGTTCCAGAGGTTCAATCACATGTTGAGTGAAAACGTATTTCTTATCATGGGTTTTGAATTTCCCACCACTGAATTTAATTGAATGTCTGCTTGCCATGTGTTATGGGAGAACAGAAGTTCCCAATCTACCTTCTCTACATTCATTATTTTAAATGCTTTCATTATGTCCCCTCGTTTTAAGATGAGTGTGGTATTGTCCTCTGTAATTTATCTGATGTGTAAAATCAGGAGTCTAGCGCCAGATTCTGCCACCCTTACTCACATAGAGTAGTACTTTGCTTCTCAACTAGTTGCACTGAGCTGAATGGGGCTACTCAAATAGTAAGGAGCTACTCCCCATGAGTACGAGCAGCAGGATGTAGCCCTTAATTTGTGCCGGCCAGACTTTTCTGAAGAAACATTTATCACGCCTAGTTCGTGCTAAGTGGATTTTGCAAAGGGTTCTTAAATTTGCACTAATGGAGTTGCCAAACATGCTGCACTCGTGCAGTCTGCAGCCATCAGAGTTTGTCTCTGACTGACAGGAAATGTACTTTAGTTTCCATGTTAAAAGGAGATAATTGAAGGTGCTTTCTTTTTAACCTGGAGCCAAGGCAGAAGTGGGTGTGATGGAAGCAAAGGGAATGCACATTTTATCAGCGCATGCTCATATTTGGGTTTAATTTCTGCTTTGATTTATTATGTCCCCTGCTGCACACCTTTCCTCTAATTTTATCAGTAGCATTTAACCTATGAGAAGCAGTTTCTTTTTAGTAACAGACGAGTGCCACTTAATATTATCCTAACCAAAATGTTTTTCTTAATAAGTGATTTATCAATCTCTCTCTTTGTGTACAGCTCCCATCATCTTATTTGAGCATCTGGGCTCCTAAATAGGTTCCACCACTTTGGTACCTTAGCAGCCCAAACACCGCTGTCCAAGTAAATTCAGTGTTAGAATCTGGTTGCCCTACAGTGCCTGATCACAATAAGGAAGGAATCTGGACGATGTATTTTTGGGTGGATAGAATAGGAGACAGGGATTCTATCCTGTTCACTGTTTTCTAAGCCGAGGTGATAAGTAATAGTGCTTCATTGTGTCATAGCCTTCCTTCATCAGTCTGGAACTTAAAAACACAGTAACAGTTTACTGGTAGGTAGAATGCAGGAGTGGGTAGCAAATACAACCAGCGTATTCCAGGTTCTAAATCTTTGCTAAAAATAATTTTGTGCATTGTTGTGTAGTCATGAAAATATTTTTCTAACTCCCCAACACAAAGGGGATCACGTGACATCCAGTTTCTATTGCTCAAACTCTGGTGGAGTGAGTATACTTACAGATCGGCTGAGTCTGCTCAAAGCTGACATTTTTGGGGCAAAGGTTTGTAACAGGGTCACAGTTTCTAGGCCCTTGCATATGAATTCAGGGCTCCTCTCTTAAGCCAGGCTAAGATCAAGGGTGGAACCCCGTGTAAAGACCTTTTTACCACCCTGCATAAAGATGCAGAATAAACACTGTTGATTCATGCTGGCAGATGGATCTTGTTAGCGTCAACCAGAGTATAAGGGAAATTGAAGTGTGCCTCGAGAGCAGAGAGAACCATGGGCTGGCATAGAGGAGATGCTGTTGGGAAGCCCTAGAAAGTGGATAGATTGGAACTATGCACAGGGTGTACAATGACAGTAATCTCCAGGGACCGAAAATGGGCAGGGGCATTTAGCACTGAGCCTGAAGGGGTATGTCTCCCCAGCGACTGGGAGGTGTGAGCCCCAGCTCAGGTAGAAATACATATCCTAGATGGCAGCTCGGGCTAGGCCTCCCGAGGACGCACCCAGCGATTTGGATGGCCTTGTACTTGGGCGGCGCACCCAAGCCGCCACCCAACATGCCAGGGCTATGCTGCTACTCTTAGGGGCTAGCTCAAGCAGAGCTAGCCCATGTGTGTCTGCTCAAGCTGGGAATCCCACTCCCAGCTGCTGTTTAGACGTACCCAAGGAGGAACTCCTTTCACTGCTAGCTGTAGCAGACTCCTATCTCCTGTGGACCAGCCACTGGGAGGAAACCCGTAACATTCGATGAACCAGGGGTTACATGTGCAGGCTCCATTTGTAGCATCTGCTTCCAGGTACGTTTGAAGTGATCAAAGCCAAGGAACACCAGGTTCTCATCTCAGTTACACTGATGTAAATCTAGGAGATGCTGACTCCATGCATGTCAGTGGAGTCACTCCAGATTAACACTAGCGTAACTGATAGTAAGATCTCTCCCTTTGGGTGCAGAATTAATTGGACATCCTAAGCTCATTGTGAGCAAACATAAACCTGTCTGAAAGCCATGTGGGTTGTAGCTTGAAATGGTATCACTCTCTGAACCAGTTAAACCTGACCCCTGTAGGCGCTGGCTTCAAAACCTGACAGAGATGGGAGAAATCAATGCCTACCTGACTTTCAGTGAGCATCTCCTCAGGTGGCTGCCAGCCACAGAGCTAAGCTCCGGTTCAGCCAGTATCTCACAGGTGTGTGCGTGTGGGTTATTTGCTTCATCTTCACCTGCAGTCTCCATTAACCCTCCTGGACTGAGGGGGAATCAAATCTGACATATGAATGAAAAGAACCACTATGAATCCAGCTGGCCAACAGTAGAGTGTCCCTGCAGAATGAAAAGGAGTACTTGTGGCACCTTAGAGACTAACCAATTTATTTGAGCATAAGCTTTCGTGAGCTACAGCTCACTTCATCGGATGCAGAATGGGGGCCTCACCCAAAGCTCATTGAAGACAGTAAAAAAAGACTGCCATTGACTCTCATGGATGTTGACTATAGGATACGCCGGGCCTGAGTCAAGTCAGATAGCTCACTAACCACTCTGTGGAATATTACCCAGGGTCAGAGGTACTGTATGATTTCATACAATGACATGCTAATCGTTGTCCTCAGTTGCATATTTTGGGTCAGTCCTTACTTGGTCAAACGCCTGTTAACGGCAGTGGGAGTTTTGCTGGAGGCTGGAGTGTGGGATTTGACCCGTTAGTAGTCACTGAATTCCACAGGCACGGCTTTTATACTGGGGAGTTCAGTGATTTTCAGTTAGTTCTTTTCAGATCTTCCTCACCTGTGCCTGGGGCTGGATGGCGAATCAGGAGCGGGCTCCTTGGCAGCCTCCTGCCTGCCTTTCACCGAAAGAAATACCTCCTTAAAAACAAACTCAGCAAAATTAAAGGAGGGAAAAAATCTGAAACAAAACCTGGTGGGCTAACCGAGGCTGTGCTTACCGTGCCCATTCTCTCTTGCACATGCTCACTGCTGCAGTCCACGCCCAGCCTTTCTTTCATATTGCCTGTTTGGGGCTAGGAGGTGGCTTTGCCACAAGCCCTGTATAAGGGGCCATGTGTGATGATTAGCCTGCTTCCTCTCTCCCATGTGGTCCAAGGGGCAAGTCCTCTGCACCAGCACTTTACCATACTGCCGGTTCATCTGTGCCGGTTGTGGGAGAGGGGGTGGAGTCAAGGATCCGACAACTTCCCAGACCTGCTTGCCCAGTTTCCAGCCCCCTGTACTGGGGGTGGAGTAGCAGCTTTGTGGAGGCCGTTTTCTCACTCCAGCCATACATGCAGCTGGTGCTGGGAAGCGAGGAGACATCTTATGCCTTTGTCTCCTCTGTGTGGAAGCATAACACAGGTTCCATCATGCTGTTGGACTGTCAGTTCCTGAGGACAGGAATCTTGTGCTCCTACCTGTTTGCAAGGTGCCTCACAGCCTTCTGGGGCAATGCAAATATTAAATAGTAATGGAGGAGCATTCAGCGTCACAACCACTTGCTGCCAGGCTGAATCTGTTTCATTGTTCCAGGATCAGCTGACACAGCACAACAAAGATGCCATGCATCCAGAGTATACCACAAGGGGGCGTATTGTTCTGAACAAAGCCTCCATTTTTGTTTGAAAGCAGCATCTCTTGGCCATACAAACGCTATTGAATAAGAGCTTCATTTTAATTTGTTCAGTGCTGGCCACAAATAGGCTTTCACCTTGTTACACTTTATGTTTTGACACTGCTAGCTAGTTTGCAGAGTTGTTAGAGCCATGTTGGTCCCAGGAGACAAAGTAGGTGAGGTCACATCTTTTGGTGGGAGGGACAAGCTTTTGAGCTACACAGAGCACTGCATCGGGTGTGGAGAAGATAAATACAAAGTAGGACAGGTTGTTAAGCATAAGGGGTTCACACATGCTGTAGGAGACCACTTAAAATGAAGTGGGTAATTAACACCTCTGCAGAGGGTTATCAGGAAGACACTCTAAGCCGATGGGAGAGAGCTTCTCCAGTCGGCATAGTTAATCCACCAGACAATGAAAGGATTAAATAATTACAGAGCAGGAGAGAAAGGAAGAAGTAGAGGCAAAGGAAATAAATGTTTTTAGCTGAGATCTGCCATAAAATAGGGAGTTGAGGTGGTGTAGAGATACAAGGAGGCTGTTCCAACTGGTAGGAGTTGCAGAGGAGAAGGCTCTTTCACCAACAGTGACTAAGTAAAGGTAAAAAGTTCAAAGGCTAGATGGGCAGAGAGAAGAGGCAAGAAAGCAGAGAGAGGAACATTCTGTGAGGAAGCAGAAGCAAGAGGCTTGTAAATACAAGACCAAATGGGTCCTCAAGTGAAAGGTATTGTTAAAATTTAAATGACTAATAACTGGGAGCTTTTACCAGAGTCAAAGATGGGTCATAGCACCCACAGAGACGTTGCAACCACAGCAGGAGGGATAGAAATGCACGCATGCAGCGCTTAATTTCCTTCAAGCGTTGTAAAAACAGACAAGTGCTGTGCTATATGGATGAAATTCACCCCGTGCAGAGGGTTAACGCATCACCTACTTGAACCCTTAGGACATAACTGATGCACAGATCTTGTGCTGGCTCCCTGAGCACAAGTGAATTTCATCTGTAGGTAAGGAAATGTCGTAGCATGGGATTCCGATTTTGTGTTTCATGCAGCTGGTCAGGAAATGCTTCTCCTTTTTCCCTGAATACAATTTTGGTGAAAAAAAAAATTTTGTCAACAGTTTGTTTGAAATTTTTCCAGGTTGTGGATTTTTTTTTTTAGTGGAAAAAGTTGGGTTGTTTTGGTTGGTGAAAACAAAACAATTTTTGTTTGCTTTTTTTCTCCCAAAATCCGTGAAAATTTTAAACAGAAATGGAGTCTTTAAAAAATTTCTGATGGACCAAAAAGCCATTTCCCCACCAGTAAAAGTTTTGATTGGAAATTTTCCACTAGCTCTAGTGTTTGCCTTCAGGGGCTAATGAAGAGGAGAAGCAGAGATGTAGCTACCAGTGCTGGTACACATTGCAATCTGGGAGTACTTGTGGCACCTTAGAGACTAACAAACGATGAAGTGAGCTGTAGCTCACGAAAGCTTACGCTCAAATAAATTGGTTAGTCTCTAAGGTGCCACAAGTCCTCCCGTTCTTATTGCAATGTGGGTGAATCCTAAAAAACCCTTACATAATTGATAGATGTGCAATCAAAGGGATGTGCTAAACCAGGGCTTTAATGTATACGTTGTGGTGCAAAATAGTACAAATGGCTCAATACAATCCCTAGATGAGTGGTGATTGTAGAAAACACTGGATTCTTTACATTTGACACTCACCTAGCTGGTTCTCTTACAGGTAAACTCGCTGATAACAAAGCTCGTGTGCTGAGATGGGAAACCAAACATTTACTGTGACATCCAGTAACCCTGCACATTCCTCTCTCTTTACATATAAATTTTCATCATAAGAATAAATGCATACAAGAGTCTGGAATCTCTCCTTGGGCTTTCCAGAGCATAGGTGAAGCAATATAGGTTTAAGAGGCACTGAGGCCAGGCCAGACTTTCAAAAGGGCTCAGCACCCACATCTGGGACCAGATTTTTAAAGGCCCAGCTATTTACACACCTAAATTAAGTGGTGAGATTTTCAGCCTCCCAGCAACGGCTTTTGTTTCAATAGGCCAGATCCGAGTAGGAGTTTTGGCAATGGGCAATGGATCAAGCCCAACAGGAGCTGTTGGATGCTGAGTTCTGTCAAATCTGGCCCCATATGTCTATGGCATAGGGTTTTCAGAATGCAAAATATACAGAAGGGGAAGGGCCATCTAATGAGATGTCTGCTAAGAAAGGTTGGTTTAGTTTTCACAAGCCACCCATGTTCCCGTTGTTTTAATTTCTGCCTCCTGTTTGTGTTTTTTTGAACCCTAGAAATGAATTCAGACCTTGGGTAGATGTCAACAGAGTCAAGCTTATAAAAGCTAAGCCCCAGTACAAGCCCCCGGACGAGAAAGTGAGCCACGAAACCAGTTACAGCTCTCAATTCAAGGGGGAGCCCAGCAAGCCTGTACAAGCTGATAACAAATTCATCGATCGCAGGAGGATACGCAGCCTGTACAGTGAGCCCTTCCAAGAATCTTCAAAGGTGAGAAATACAGTGTAAGGGGACAAGGGCCAGCACGTGTCTGCAGCAGGGCATAGCTATGAAGACTTCACAGCACTGCTTAGTTTCATTCCACTTCCCATGGCTTATTCATTTCTTATTCAATAGGGGACCCTATTAGGACTCGTTCTCTGACACCCCAGTAAGAGGCGTGGGGCTGAATCCTTAGCTGGTGTAGATCAATATAACTGCACTGAAGTCAGAGGTGGGATGCTGGATTACAACAGGTGCAAGATCTGGCCCCAGGACAATCTCTTTGTGTTTGCATTTCCCTGATCTCTAATGTAGACTATTATTACTTGGTAAACACAAAGCTACAAATGCGTTACCTTCTTGTCTTTCACCCCAGTAACATGCTAAGGGCCAGATCCTCTGTTGGTGTAAATGGAGGTAGCTCCATTGACTTCAGTGGAGTTACACTGATTTACAGCAACCACGGATGGGTCTTTAAATGGATCCGATCTGTACAATTTTGGGTCTGGATTTTTTCCTTCATCCCAGAGTTGTGCATCCTTCATCCCAGAGTTGGGGTTGTGCAGTTCTTCGAGGTGTTGTTTGGTCCCGATATAAAGAGAGAGGGGGTCAGATGGGAAATTCTGCTTCCAGTGGGATTCTGAACCCCACCCCACCCCCCCAAGTCTGGGAGAGAGAATGGGCTGGATCCAGGGTTTTGCTTCGCACCTTCCCCTGATATCATTCCAAGTCCACGCTTGGTGCTGCTGTTTCTTTTGGCAGTAGATGAGCCCCAGGCATCCCATTGTGTTTTTCCTCCATTGTATCAACCTGAGAAAGGAGCGGAACAAGGAGCACGCCCACCCCGCCACCCCGCGTCGGCAGCCCCCCAAACAATGGAACTTATAAAGCATCCAACAGAGGATCCTGTGACTCTTCCCCTCCCCTTTGTTCTGGGCCATCGTTTCCCTTGTCTGATCCCAAAGAAAGGCCACGCCTAATGAGATTGCAAAGGCCACTCCCCAAATCGGCCAGTCAAGGGGGTGACAAAATGTGCCCCCTGCCTCCAGTGACTGACCAGTATCCCTGCATCCTTCTGTGTTTACTCAAAACCTGGGGAGTCCAACATATCACATCAAAAAGCCCCTTTTGCTAAGCTGACCCTAGCAGCCATTGTTCACAAGGTTGCTGAACGCTGACAGCTGTTTTCCTCAGTGGTGTCCCGACAGCCACATGCATTATGGAGACGTTAGAATGAGACCTTGGACGGCATCCTTAAACAAATACAATAAGGCCCTGAATGACGTCTCCTAATGAGTAGAACTCCTTAGAGAGCTCAGAGTCAGGCCACACATTCAGCTGGCTTTAATCAGCGTAGCTTCATTTACTTCAGTGCCAATATGTCAATATACCTTGTGCAGGACGGTCTGGCGCTTTGTACTTAAATAGCATTAGCCCCAACACTTGACTTAGGGCTTGCCTACACAGAGACTTAGGGCTTGTCTACATTACCCGCTGGATCGACGGGCAGCGATCGATCCAGCGGGGGGTCGATTTATCGCGTCGAGTCTAGACGCGATAAATTGACCACTGAGCACTCTCCCATCAACTCCGGTACTCCACCGAGGCAAGAGGCACAGGCGGAGTCCACAGGAGAGTGTCAGCAGTCAACTTACCGCAGTGAAGACACCACGGTAAGTAGATCTAAGTAGGTTGACTTCAGCTACGTTAGTCACGTAGCTGAAGTTGTGTAACTTAGATCGATTCTCCCCCTCTCCCCGCAGTGTAGACTAGGCTTAGTGCGTGGCAAACTGGGGTGTAAATCAAAGTCTCTGTGTAGACAAGCTCTTAAATGCAAAACATAAATAAATACAAATTGCCATCTCTTTGATGATGTCTCTCTCTAAATCCTGTTTTTCTACCTTTTCCTGTGTGTTTCTGTGTTGGCGGTTTGTATGTTACGTCCATCCAGGTGGAGAAGCGTAGTGTTCAGCCTTCCAAACCAAAAAAGACAACGACGAGCCATAAACTACTGAAAAAGGCCAAAGACAAGCAGATTGCATCTGGCCGGGCTGCCAAGAAAAAGAGTGCTGAGAGCTCCAGTGGGACAAAGCCAGAGGACAAGGAGAAAAGTAAAGAGATGAACAATAAATTGGCTGAGGCTAAAGAGTAAATTTCACTGCACTTTTCTCTCTCTTTTTTTTTCTTTTATTAAATAAAGGCCACAAAATTAATTAGAGGCTTCTAATCTGCTTTTGTTCTGATTGTATTAGAAGCTTTTATGTTTTATTTCCAAGGAGGATTAGGAATCCTCATTTCAGAGGTCAGGTTTTTGGCTTTGCCTGTACGACACAGATCTACACAGAATGATGGGGAGAGGATGAGGAGGGTGGAATGCACAGAGGATTGTAGGATTACAAAGGTTTTCAATTAATTGTGTGCTGCGAATGTATTAAAAGGCTTGTCTCTTTCCTTGGGCCTGATCCTCCAGTGCTTTGATGGTGTAAAGCTGCCATTTGTTCCACTGGTGCAGGGAATGGGCTCAGTTCTTTTCCCAGGAGCTGATCCCATGAGGCTGAGTGTCCTTTGGAGGTGCTGAGCTTTGTCTTCTCCCATTGGCATCAACAGTATAGGAGAGGTGCTCAATATCTTGCAGGATCAGGCCCTGCAAACCTGGCATAACTCAGTGGAGTCACTCCAGACTCACACTACTAGGGACTAAGAGCAGAATTGTTCTCAGAGACATCAATGGGCATTTGGCCCAAGGAAGTGATGAAGGCTCAGATCCCTTGTAAGGAAAGATTTTGGGCTAGATCTTCAGCTGGTATAGATGGGCCATGCCCATTTACACCAGCTCAGGATCTGGCCCTGTGTTGCAGCAGAATGGAAAGTGAAGTAAGGCACAGAGAGAGTCCAGCTGGTTGCAAAGATTTCCTGAATGGGCTTCAGGTCAGACTCTGCAGGTTGTTCCTCCCTGTCATTTTCCAGGATCTGCTTCTTTTTTATGATTTCCGATTTGTTTTGGATCTTGGTCTGATTCCTTTGTTTTTCAGATGCAGATGGATATTGTGTGCAACAGGAGTAGGAGAAGGTTTCAGAAATGGATTCAATTTGCAGACATGGCTTCTTTATGGGTAGCATGGAGCAAGTCACCATTGTTAGCTCTGATTGCATTTTCATACACAGTGCTAGGAAATTGTCACAAGCACAATAGTTTTAAATATACCTGCACGTTAAATCATGGTTGCTCATAATTGTGCGATTGGAGCCATGACTCAGTTATTGGGAGCCCTAACCTCCAACTTGGCCAAATCCTCAAGCTCTCAACTCAGTGTATATTGTGTCCTTACTCTGGTAAATTCCCACCAATGTCAGTCTGACTCAGTAAACAAAGGCCTGTTTCCCAGCTGGTATCAATTGCATTGCTCTGTTGAAATCGATGGAACTATATTGATTTACACCAGCTGCGAGTCTGGCCCAGAGTGCTGATCTCAGCATTCGGTTCACAGATTCAGCAGGAGCTAAGAGAGCTAAGTACCTTGCAGGATTGCTTTAGCTTAACAAAACGGAGACGTTGAACCACCTGGGTAATAAACCCCCAGAGCAGCTGTAGGAATCATTCCTGTTTGGCCTTGGTTAATCCTTTTTGTTATAGCTCAATCCAAGTTGCAAATTTCACTAGGCAAAAGCAACTTGGGATGACGTTAGGTGAGAGCTCCAGGATCATATTGCTGTAGTGGTATTGGAAAAAGGACTATCTTGCTTCTAGATTATATTAGATTTCAGTTAAATACTTGCAAGGGTTTGTTTGTTTTTCCGGAGGTGGCAATTTCAGTTTTCAGAATCTAAATGTTTATCATTTGGTATGTCTGAAAAATTAAAAGGGGTGCCACAATGGAAGGGTAAGAGAAGGTTTCTAAAGATTAAGGAAGTTCTATTCTATGGGAATAGCAAACTTTGTTGGCCCGAGTAATGAATACATGCAAAGTTTAGTGTGTTGTGTAATGTGTCCTGTTTGCCTTGTGCTAACAGCCTAAAGCTTTTGAGTATAAATAAGTGTAATGTTCTGAATTCAGTGGTGTATTTCCAAGTTTAGCTGTGTTAGAACTGTGTAGTATGAACTAACCAGGATGTTTATGTGGAAAAAAAATATATATATACATACATATACCTCCAATATTTAGGAGGAAACCAGGGAAATCCTCCAGGAAGTAAAACTGTGGAACTGTTTGCGAATGTAATGCATTTTTGACATGCATGCTTCATGGAGAACCTCACTGAACTGTCTATAATGGTCATCACTATTCCGAGTGCTCAGAAATTGAATGGATGTTGCGCATCTGCAAACCTCAGTTCTGTCTGCGAGTGCAGAGTAGCTCAGCAAAGGGTTTCATTGAACTCATGAAAGATAACGCATGTTCCTTGCATCAAAACGGATGTTTGTTAACTTTTCGGAGAGAGCTGAGCCTCAAAGACTCTGTGACGCTTGACCTGTTGACGGATGCCTCCCTTCACCGTTACACTTCTCTGGCCGTGCCTACGCTGACAAGCTGACAGGGCCACCGCTGTACCCATGCAGCCGTGCTGCTGTCACAGCGCTTGTGTAGCTGCAGGATGCCAATAGGAAAGAGCTCTCCTGTCGCCACAATAAAACCAGCTCAACGAGTGGCAGTAGTCATGTCGGTGGGAGAATGTCTTGCCACTTATGCCAGCAAAACTTATGTCACTCCAGGAGGTGTTTTTTTCATGCCCCTGAGCGACAAGACTTTGCTGATGTACGTGCTAATGTAGACATGGCCTCCATAACATACCTCCTTATCTCAGGTAGAGGATAGCAACAGTTAAGATGATGAAGCGTTAGAGCAGTTAAAGCGTGAAAGTAGTTTACAATAGCCAGAAACACTGGCTCCCTCACACAGGAGAGAGACTGTATCCATTCATTGCAGAGGATCGTTCATTTTTGCCCATTAGCATCCATATTAATGCGTCACTAAGTGCCAAGTCCACTGGAAGTTAATGGGACTAAAATGAGGCCCTAAGAGATTTAGCAGTAAGTCCCTTGGATAGGCCCAATTTTGTCCCTATACGTGCACACTATTGAGGGCCCCAGGCATGCATTGAAGTGCATAGTTTGGCCCGGGGATTAATATTAGGAGATATAATAAAATCAGGTCTTAAGGTCAAACTCTTCGTTGAGTTGCACTCCATGCTAGCCCACTGATGTCAGCTGGGTTACGTGCGGCATGTCTCAGCACAGAATTTGGTCCTAGGGGCCTCATCTTGCCTTAGTTTGTGATGGAACTCCTACCAATGTCAGCTGTGTGCCTGGATTCAGGACAGTGTATAGCCCTCCACCTGCTTTCTCATTGCTCCGACATAATATCCACAGAGTGAATTTAACATTGATCAGAAAGGAGATGAAATCTTTGCTCATTCAAGTCCACTTTGGATGCTAAGCTTGTGGCTTTAATTTGGCAAGAATTTATTCTCTGATTTTGGGTTTCCAACTGCCACAAAGGCAGTTATACTTCATTACCAACTTATCATATGTTTTGCTCTCCTGGTTAAAAAGTGCTTGCTTTATCCTTGTGAGAATTGCTATGGTTTTGACCACCTGCTTTCTTATTTTCACTATGTCTTCTTATTGTGCTGTCACTCCCTTTTGCAAGATGGTGCTAAATGCCAACAGGCTTCTTTTTCTGACTGCTTTGCAAATCCATCATCCGCTTCCTCATCTGCAGTGTTTCTGGTGTAAATACATAACTCCCATATACTCTTGCCTTTTCGAGGCAGTTAGGAAGTGTCTAATTACTATTTTGTGGCCTGGCTTTGGTTGCATATCACAAATTGTCTCTGTAATGTGTTGAGCACACCACCTCTTGGTGCTACTTCATTCTTGCTGTTAGTATGAGAATGATGAAACAAAAAGATTAATGTATAGCCAATTGATTGTGACGTGCTTGTGATCTTTGCTTGCTCAAAGGGTTTTTTTCCCCCAATGATAAATAAATGCTGAAGACGAATACCACCTTCTTGATCTTGTTTTCTCGCTAAGAAGCACAACTGAGTAAGTGAAGGAAGCACCCTTTCCAATGTTTTACATTGGGAGAGCCATGCTGAGTTTCATATTGCAGAGATAACAGTGAGAGGCTGCAATCTGGCTCTCTTCAGATGGCTGCTAAAATCACATAAGCATGAACTGAGGGCTAAACATTGGCAGAGATGAAGATGGACAGTGAAGTCATGTGAACGAAGCAGGTAGTTTGGATTTTATTTCTAATCGGTGCCGTGTTGAACAGAGGTCTCCTGCTCCGTGCCCCTGCGTGCAGGAGGTTACTGGGCAAGATTCTCTGCGCCTTGCTGCTGTTCGGATCACAGTCAGCCAGGCCACAGAAACATGGCCCATGCGGAGGAGGAGAGGAGCTCCTGCCAAGAGCATGATGGCTGAGTTATTAGCACTCATACCTGGCATTCCGATAAAGCCACTTAAAGCCCATTGAAGTCAATTGGGAGTCTTTCCATTGCCCTCAATGGATTTTGGATCAGGCCTTGAGCGCAGAAACTTACTCTCAGGGTTCTCTGACATGATCATATAAAATGAAAGCTACCCAGCGGTGAACTAACAATGGCACATTCTCAACCACAAGCCGGGAAACTCAGAATCCTACTCTCAACACCAGCGCTTGCATCCTATCTTGCCAACAGTCATATCCAGGTGTTAGGAAGAGTTGGTGCCCATTCACAAGCTGGTCCATATGCATAGATGACCAGCAGCAGGGGGCTTACACAGGCAGTCTATATGAAGCCAAACAGTTTTTTGACCAGGGTCCATAAAATCCATGCTGGGAAAATAGTGCATTTGTTTTGCTTGACTTTTTTTTCAGTGGTAATTAGGCGACAAAGGGTTAAAAATACATGTTGGAACATGTACTATATTGGCTACATGAGGGAGGAAGAATGGTCTTATTTTGAGCAGTGGATTGGAATCCAGGACTCCTGAGTTCTGTTTCTGTGTGCCACTGATTGGGACAAGTCACAGATTAATTTATTTGTGCCTCAGTTTACCCATCTAAAGCTAATAATACCCAACCACCAAGATGTTCTTCAGGGGCTTAATTAACTGAGTATGAAG